TCACCTTCTTTACCAATACAGCTGTTTCTAGAAGGCCTTCAGAAACACAAGTATGCCTCACAGTAGCTAGTTCCACTAGCACTATTGTTTTTGTTTTGTTTTTTTTTTTAAATGAAGTTACTGTAATTCAGCCTCAGGCATGTGAGTTGCACTGCCTTACAAAACAGTCATACATAAATGAGACTGAATCTTGCTAGTCCACTAAAACAAGAGCTAACTTTTCTAAGTTTAAATGTCAAGACCTAAAAGATTTTCAGGTCACCTGTTTTAACACGGAGGTTATGCAATCAGGTATTTTAAAACTCTCCATTTACATTACATTTAACATCTACAGAACTGTAAAGCTGGCTAGGATCAAGTTCTTCTGCTGAGGTCTCCTACTGTTACTGATCCGTTATCAATTAGAGATATTTTAATGATTTTGATTTAAATAAGGAATGATCAGGCCTAATCAATTAAATGGAATTTTATAGGAGTATCGGTTTTATTATAGTTAGAAAAAGATAGTTGTATAATGTTTTACGTAGCCATAGAAATACTGCATTTAGTTTAGAGTAACCATACAACCAGTCATGCTGCTACAAAGTCCACTGTAAAGTCCCAGGCTAAGGCCTCATAGGCCAGTAATAATCACTAACCAGATTTCTATTCAAAGAGTAAGATTCATAACCAGGTACTATTGTTAGGCTGTTCGGTAAGGACAATTTATTGCCCTGTTGACCAGGATGTTCTAAAGGATACACTGTGAAGGGACCTCAAAGCATGTTAAAATTGTAGTGTGAGCCAAAGTCCTTGAGACAAGGACTTTGGAGGGTCTTTTTTTTTTTTGAGTCAGTGGTCCATGGTGGTCATAAAAGCAGCCCCTCAACTCAATTTAAACACAAAATGCATATGACCGGAAAGGGTGGGATTAAGAAAATGAATTATGAGAATAGATGTAACTATGTGTGAGAACCTGTTTACTATGCATCATTATAGCCTATATAACCAGTATGCCACATGAGTTAGGTGTGTACTGTTGGTGAGACGACTCTCCTACGTACCTGGCTGTTAATAAAGAAGTGTCTGCTTATCTGCATTACGTTGGTGTCACTAAGTTTTTATCCTATTTGGTGACAGTTTCTGGTGACCCATATGGGACCTTGCTAAGTGAGATTGGAGGAATCGGGGACCTGGCTGGTTCCAGCTGGCACTGAGGAATTCTCAGGGATACTCATCGATCCCCTCCATAAAGCTCTTTGCAACATCCCCTGGAATTGGTAAGACACTTCTTATTTGGTTTGGAACATATGCCCATGAAATGCAAAGCTGCGCAGGGTTGGACTAAGGGTGCATTTGGACTGGGAGACTAGGCATCTGCCCACAAGACCTAAGTGAAAGCTATTGCAGGGTTTGACAAATATTGGTATTGAAAAAAACCTATATACGCTAGAGGTGTTTCGTTGATATCTATTTTGGTGTCTGTATCCGTTTATCTAAAAAAAAAAAAAAAATTGGTGATGTTTGTGTGAGTTTGAGACATACAAATAAGTATGAAGAGAGTGTGGAGTTCAGATCTGTCATTCTGTTATCCCATGAGGGGTGCAGCCAGAGAAGAACAAAGTGAAAGACTGAGTGATTATGTATGAATTTCAAAATAGTTTGAAATGGTATCTGAACACATTTGTTCAAGAGTAAGAGTGTTGGTAATTGGCTTCTGATGAAAAAGTACTGAAGACTTCTCCATCAGGATGTCTGTTAGCACACTGGGGAGAAATACATGATGACTTACGTAGAAGTCAAATGGTAAGAGTACTGTAATCATTGGTGACTTTTGTTTGTTTTGGAAGATCAGGAAAAGTAGCCTACCAATGGAACTTTGAGCTATAACACCATATTACAGTTAATGTTGTTTTGTAGAAGGGAAGGAAATAGGAATGAAGTTCCATACATAGATTTGTTCTTTTATTTGAGTAAATGAACTGATTGGCAGACAATGTAAATTGATTAGTGGAGATAATTTCATAATGGCTTTGACTTCTGAAAACAAGAAAATAAATACATGTTTCTGCATGTGATACTGGCAGAAGGTGCTTAAAACATCTCCCAAAAAAGATTAAGTAGGACCAGAATTAAATACATACACATATATATATATATACACACATATATATATATATATACACACATATATATATATATATATATATATATATATATACACACACACACACACACACACATATAGGCCCTCCACAAGGAGAATAGAGACCTTAGAGACAGGGATATGGAGGTAAAAGAGATAGTGAATCAATATTGATGCCGGAGTCAGAAAGTAGTGGAATAGAAGATGAGGATGAGGGACTGGCTGCAACTGTAATTCAGATTCCTGTATCTAGGAGAACCAGGCAGCAGACACAGGTAATAGCCCCTTTGAGACAAGGGGGTCATGACCGACCAGTATATGTAATAGTGCCTTTTTCAGTTATGAATCTGATGTCTTGGAAATAGGCTGCAGGGATTTACATGGAAGATCCTGAGAGAACAGGCAGAATAGCGATACAATTATTAGAATGCAGGACCCAGACTGGAATGATTTGAAGTAATATTAGAGAACTTACTGAATGGGATGGAGAAACAAACAGCATTGAGGACTGGTAAGTGGCAGTTATAAGTGGGATGCTCGATGGAACTTTAAAGCAAAATTTTCCTTCTGGAGATCCACAGTGGGATCAATCATGGGGAGCATAGACAAAGATTAGATCGATATCAGAAAAGGGTTCTGTATGGGGTAAACAATGCAATACCTAAATCTGTGAATTGGTAACACAGGTTAAAAATGAATCTCCATCTGCATTTCTGGAAAGACTGAGGATGTTGCCAAAAAATACACTGATTTGAGGGGAAGCAGAAGCAGCTCAGATGCAGCTGGCCTTGATCTTTATGGGGCAGTCTGCATCAGATATAAAAAGCTCCAGAAACTAGAGGGAGAAGATTCACAAAATGTGAATAAGATGTTGGAGGTTGCATGAAAATATCTGTAATAGCCGAGAGAAAGAGAAGAAGAAAACTAGAGAAAACAGGCTACTGGTTGTAATAACAGGAGCACTAGTGAGAGGCCAAGGACACGCGAGAGGACAAGGGGCTACTACAAAAAGAGGATTTGTGAATTCTGGGAAATGAAATTTTAATGCACCCCTCAGTGTGCTTATTGCAGAGAAGGGCAGCATTGGAAACAAGAACATCCTAAGATGAGGGGTGGTCAGCAAGAGTAATGACCCTAGATGCATGAAGGGGAATGGAGTGGAATTCAGTTGAACCTCTAGTTGCAATTAAGCTGGGAGAAAAGGAGTTTAAATTTCTTGTAGATGCAGGAGCAACATTTTCAGTTTTGAATACTTCTGAAGAAAAATTAGGAATCAAAACGGCAAACATAAGAGAAGTGACAGGAAAGGAAGAAAACAGGCCATTCCTTCAACCCCTGGATTTGAAATTTGGAAATAATTACACATAAATTCTTGTATGTACCAGAATGTCCAGTACCTAAGGAAAAGGCTTACTGTTTAAACTAAATGCTCAGATTGTTTTTGAAGAAGGGGAACTTTTTCTAAAAATACCTGATAGGTATTTTTTTCTCCTATCAAATATAGGAGAAATCCTGATGATAAAGGAAAGAATAAAAAACACGAAATTCCACAGGAAGGCGATCTAGCAATAATCCCTACCGTATGGGAAGCATACGGTAAATATAAAAACTGGCAAATCACAATTAGCACTACCTGTGAAAATAGAATTGAAAGAAGGTGTATTCTGGTTTTGACCAGGATGGAGTTAACTTTCCCTGGGCTGAGAGGGAGCACAGCTTGGAGGCCGGTGCCATCAGTCCCTGGAGTGTTTCATCCCATGTGATGCCGTGCCCAGGGATACAAGTGGGCGCGGGCTTGCTCTGGCACCGCTATTTTCGGGTTCTGGTCCGGTCGCATGTTGCTGGGGGGCGATCTCCGCGCTCTGTAAGCCACTGCTGCATTTTACCCATTTCTTTTGCACTCACTATTGTTACTGTTGTTCTCTTGTTGTATTTAGTAAATCCTTTCTTTTTATTCAACCTACGAATTCTCTTTTTTTGTCCCTCCCCTATTTCACCAGGGAGGGGGAGGGTGAACAGCCAGCCACATGGCGTCTGACTGCCAGCGGAGTTCAAACCTCAACAAGGTGCAAGAACAGTGAGGATTAAACAGTATCCAATTAAACCAGAAGCTAGGCAGGGGATTAAGAAATTGACAAGTTTTTAGAACACAAAATTCTTGATTAATGTGAATCTGAATATAATACCCCAATTTTACCAGCAGAAAACATTCAGGGGAATACAGATCAGTACAAGATTTAAGAGCACTGAATCAGGTAGTTAAGGATGTTTATCCTGTAGTGGCAAAACCATATACTTTGTGGACAGCATTAAAAGAGACCCATCATTGGTTTACAGTGCTTGATTTGAAGGATGCTTTCTTTTGCCCTTGGACAAGGAAGCAGAAAGTTGTTTGCCTTTGAGTAGGAAAATCCACAAACGGGACAAAAAATGCATATAACATGGACAAGACTACCCCAAGAATTTAAAAAATAGTCCAACCATTTTTGGAAATCAGTTGGCGAAGGAACTCTAAGTATGGAAACAAGATGATTCATGGTCAAAGACTGGACACTTACTTTTTGCAGTATGTGGACATACTAATTGTTACAAAAAAAAAAAGATCCATCTGAATAAAGGTAACAACAGAACTTTTAAATTTTCTTGGACTAAACAGGTACAAGGTATCCAGAAATAAAGTCCGAACAGCAAGCCAGTGTAATATATCTGGGCTTTGAGATTTCAAAAGGACAATGGCAACTGGGAACAGAATGTAAGGAAGCCATTTGTGGCATACTGGAGCCAAAAAGCATTCGTGAACTAAAGGCCTTTCTGGGAATGGCTGGGTGGTATTGTCTTTGGATAATGAATTACAGTCTAATAGGTAAGTCATTGTATGGAAGCTCAAAAGAACCTTCCCTTTGCATGGGACCCACATCAGAAACAGGCCTTCAAAGATTTAAAACGAGCTCTCATGTCTGCACCTGCCCTGGGACTTCCGGATTTAGCCAAAGATTTTCAGTTGTTTGTTCATGAAAGACATCATCTTGCACTAGGTGTGCTGGCCCAGAGAATGGGAAGTTGGAAGAGACGAGTTGGATACTTTTCCAAACAGTTGGATACTATGAGTAAAGGATGGCCTGCTTGCCTTCAAGCAGTTGCTGCTACAGTAATACTTATTCAAGAGGCCTGGAAATTGACTTTGGGAAGAACAATAACAGTATATGTCCCACATATGGTGATAACTGTTTTAGAACAAAAGGGGGGACATTGGTTGTCCCTGAGCAGAATTATGAAGTACCAGGTGGTCCTGACGGAACAAGATAATGTAATTTCAAAAACTAAGCTGGTAAACCCTGCAGTTTTTCTAAATTCTACACAGGAAGAAGGGCAGCTGGAGCATGACTGCCTGACTACTATTGAACATGTGTACTCCAGACAGGAGGACTTGAAGGACACATCGTTGGAAGATCCCGACTGGGAGTTATACACAGATGACAGCAGCTTTGTGGAACACGGGAGTTCAATACTCTGGATATACGGTAACAACTGACAATTCCATCATAGAGGCAAATGCATTGTCTGTCAACACTTCAGCTCAAAAGGCAAAACTCATTGCTTTAACTAGAGATCTTGAATTAAGTGAAAAAAGAAAGTAAATATTTGGACTGACTCAAAGTATGCTTTTGGGGTAGTACATGTCCATGGAGTCTTGTGGAAAGAATGAGGATTACTGTCTCCCAAGGATCAAATATTAAACATCAGGATGAAATTTTGCAGTTATTGCAAGCAGTTCAGAAACCAACTCAGGTGGCAATTATGCACTGGTAAAGCACATAAGGTTGGGAATACAAAAGAAATTGGAGGAAATAGCTTAGCAGATGTGGCTGCCAGAAAAGCAGAGATAGAAACAACGTTACAAATAGCATTGATTCCAATAAAAACAGTAGTTCTCCCAGAGGAGAAACTTAAATATTCAGAAGATGATAAATTGAGGCAATTATTGAATACTAGGAAAAATTTAGCTGGATGGACAAGTACTAATACCTCTTCTAATGAGAGAAATAATTCAGGTGAAACATCAGGAGCGTTATTTGGGCATATAGAGGCTTTCATAATCCTTTTAAAAAGACAACTACTATCAGTTAAGATGTTAGGAACTGCCAGATTAACTGCAAAATGCGAACTGTGTTTGAAAAATAATCTGCTAGTGAAGAAAAAGCTTCCAATGGGTAGACTCAAATCTGGAAGTGTACCAGGAGACTATTGGCAAGTAGACTCCTCAGAGTTGCCTAGACAAAATGGGTATCAGTACATTCTGGTGGAGGTTGATACTTTTAAAAGATGGCCAGAAGCCTTTCCTTGTTGTACCACTCAGTCAAATGAGGTTCTAAAATGGTTACTACAAGAAATAATCCCAAGATTTGGAGTTCCTATTAGGATCTCTTCAGATAGAGGCCCACACTTTGTTCCTGAATACAACTCTGGGATTTACTTACACCATGGACGCCACAGTCTAGTGGAAAGGTAGAAAGAATGAATCAGACCATAAAAGGCAAATTAGCAAAATATGTCAAGAAACTAAATTAAAGTGGCCTCAGGCACTTCCATTGGCATTGCTGTGAATCAGGGTACAACCAAAAAGTGGCACATCAGTTAGTGCTTATGAGTTATTATATGGAAAACCATATGAATCTCCAGAACCAAATCAAAATATGCATGTAAAAGGAAAACAAGATGTGTAAAATTATTTACTTTCCTTAGGAAAAAAAACCTGACTGCAATCTGAAACACAGCAGTGTGGAACAGACCTCTGTCCCTGGAATACATGACACTTAACCCGGAGACTACATCTGTGTGAAGATGTGGACTTCTGAACCCTTGCAAGAAAGGAAACTGGAAAGGACCCTTTCAAATACTGCCGACTACCTTTACAGCTATCAAAATTGCAGAATCAGATGTGTGGTTTCGCTATACTAGAGTGAAGAAGGCACCCCCGTCATGGAAGAAGGTCTTAAGTAGGGATCTGGGATCTTCAAAACTGACTCTAAAATATGTCTATATATTGATTGAAAATGTTTTTAGACTGGATTTTAATCTGGAAACTGATGCTAGTGGGATCCTGATTTGAGGTAACAATTGAAAGACAAAATGCAATTGAGAATTATGAGGAAATGTTAGACCTGAAGGAGATGAATAGAAGGCAGGTAGACACAGCTAATATACCTCCCAAAGAAATCACCAGAAGAAATTTTGATGTTAGGATTAATGAATTTACGGAACATAACACAGATTACTGCTTGTTTACCGATACCAAGAGTAGTAGGTAAATCTGTTCTATGGGGAATTTTAAGACTGAATTTGACTAATTTAAGATATAGAAATGAGACTACTCATTGTGAATAAAAACCTGCTGTTGAGTGGTATGAACAAGTGAAAATTACCAGGAAACAATGGAATTCCCCAGGGAATGTGAAAAAATATTAAATGTTTTCACAGAAATAGGAAGATATTGAACAGCTAGGTGGTGTTCTTATGATGAACAAATTAGAAACAACATAAGTAAAAACCTCATAGAATGGAAGTGTGATTGACAAAACCAGTCAGACTACACAAGAGGTGCAATGGGATTCTTTACAGACCATGTCTTTATTTTCTCAGTTTCAGTATACATCTAGAACTCCTGGGTTTTTTTACTTTACTTGGGATGGACAATATTTGCTGCCTTCCCATCAGTAAATGATAAAGGAAGAACACTAAAAGAAAAATCTGGGGTCTTCAGGGAAGTATGAGAAGGTATATAACTGCAGCAATGCAGACCTAATAACTCCAATAATTCCTCCTTTGGCTGCAGCCTTAAAATATGGGTGTCTTTGTGAAGGACTTAAAAATGGTCTTAATTTAATCAAAACCGATACATCCAACAAAGGAACAATATTTAGCTGTAGAAAATCTACAATTCAGTCCAGGACATTTAGTTTGGGCAATGAGTAATGGAACCTGGACAATGCATCTGCCCTTGGATGGAAGAGTAAAATAGATTATTTTAGGTATGCCAATTGTGCCCAATTTGGAAATAACCTCCCTTTAAAGGATCCTTAGAAAACTTAAAATTGAAGCAGGTTAAAAGATTGGAGACAGATGAAATGAACACTCAATGGGACTAAAAATTGGCTGGAATCCCTTTTGAATGCCATGGCATCACAGAAATAGGCAATGGCTGTATCGACTGATTGGACTAGTAGAAAGACTGGTAAATGTCACCAGGAAAGGATTTAATGAATTAAATTTACAATTACAGGCAATCTCAAGAATGACTTTGCAAAACAGAATGGCACTAGACATGCACTTGCTCAACGAGCCTGGAGTTTGTGGATACCTCAAACAAGAGTAAATCATTGTTGCATACATATCCCAAATGTGACACAAGATGAAGAACATGACTTAAAATTACTAGCAAAAATTGAGGAAGATAGTGTAAAGGTCTGAGAATGTATGTCAGAAGATTGCATAGACAAAATTTTTAGTGGATTAACTTGTCATGTTATTTATTTTGCTGGCTATTTTCTTGATGATTTATTTCTGCTTGAAGAAATAAATTAACAGCAAAATTGCATTCAATTGCCTGATAAAAGAAATCCCAAGACTCTCACCAGCATACAGTGAGACAGAAATGTAACAGATCAGTATGAAAGTATTGAGACGATTGTCAAAATTTTCAAAGGGGCAAAATGTTACTGATTCGTTATTAATTTGAGATGATTTTAATGATTTTGATTTAAATAAGGAATGATTAGGCCTAATCAATTAAATGGAATTTTATAGGAGTATCGGTTTTATTATAGTTAGAAAAAGATAGTTGTATAATGTTTTACGTAGCCATAGAAATACTGCATTTAGTTTAGAGTAACCATACAACCAGTCATGCTGCTACAAAGTCCACTGTAAAGTCCCAGGCTAAGGCCTCATAGGCCAGTAATAATCACTAACCAGATTTCTATTCAAAGAGTAAGATTCATAACCAGGTACTATTGTTAGGCTGTTCGGTAAGGACAATTTATTGCCCTGTTGACCAGAATGTTCTAAAGGATACATTGTGAAGGCACCTCGAAGCATGTTAAAATTGTAGTGTGAGCCAAAGTCCTTGAGACAAGGACTTTGGAGGGTCTTTTTTTTGAGTCAGTGGTCCATGGTGGTCATAAAAGCAGCCCCTCAACTCAATTTAAACACAAAATGCATATGACCGGAAAGGGTGGGATTAAGAAAATGAATTATGAGAATAGATGTAACTATGTGTGAGAACCTGTTTACTATGCATCATTATAGCCTATATAACCAGTATGCCACATGAGTTAGGTGTGTACTGTTGGTGAGACGACTCTCCTACGTACCTGGCTGTTAATAAAGAAGTGTCTGCTTATCTGCATCATACTGGTGTTTACAAATTCTCTTACCCTGTTGGGTAACACTACTAACCCAGTATAACGCTTAAAGAGAAAAAGGCAAGAGTGTGATTTAATGTGATCTCATTTCTGTTAAAAGTATTATAAAGGGATGCTTTTCTCTATTAGTAGAGTTGGGGATTGAGCTAATGTTTCTGCTGTAAGCGTAAGACAGTTGAAAAGAAACCTTTCTGCTTTCTCTTCCCTTAATTCCCCAGGACACTGGCAATTAAATTACAAGTTCACTGACACACTGGTCAATTTTATTTCTTCTGTTACAAGCCTTATCACTTAATTCATCTGTAAGTAGCCCAGTCACCTAACAACAGTATGATAATCCTGGTCTTCAAAGCAAAATGAATTTATCAAACCATACAATTCTCTTCATATCTCTTAAGAAAAACATTATTCTAGCTTTTATGGAGAACAGTGGAAGTGCAACACTTTTTCCCCTCAATGGTAGACAACATGATCCATATAGCCCCAAACCATTAAAAAATATTTTATGCAAAAAACACCCCTAACCACCCATAACCAAACAAGACCCTCCTAAAATAAGGAAACTGAACTCTCAAAATGTATTTATCAGCATTTTCTTTAATTGGCTCTTTAAATAAATTGTTACCAACTCATACAAAACCAAAACAAGCTTTCCTAGAAACAGAAAGCTATAGATGGATAATAGGGACAACCCCTCCTGAATTATTCTGTATGCAGAAGACTTCAAAGACAGCTAGGAAGTGCTTTCTCCCTCCTTGTAACATGTATAATAAAATAGCATCTTAGAGAAGTAGGCCTTTAAAAAGTCCTCAAAATTATAATCTGTTTTAAGATGTTTCCTTGAAAGTAGATTATAGCTAAAGCATATTTTCCAAGTCTTGTGTTTTCTATTTATTATTCCTCTGCACTTTCCATTTTTGTTCTTAAAGTTTGCTGCCCCAAACTCTCTCGGATTTTATAAGCATGCTTCCATTTTATCTTTCAAATCACTAATGGAACTTGAGTGAAAACTAATCCAAGGACACACTCAGCAAGATTTGTCAGAACTTCCAAGGAGGCCACACAACAAGTTATACCTACAAGAATCTTCTACAGCTGAAGAAACTAACCTTCCTAACAAAACCTACCTCACAT